CCTTTTTTCCAACACCCATGCAAGGCTGTGCATCTCACTACCAGCTACCATGAGGTGATCAAGGCTGGGGTGGTTCAGGAAGCTGGCTTTACCCAGCTCTGCATAGCAGAGCTAACATTTGGACTCTGGCCATCAGAACACAACCTTCTGATCTCTAGGCCATGCATCGCCAGCCAAACACTAGACTCTTATTCAACGTAAGATACGTCATAGTGTGCATGGTAAGAACTGGTAACATGGTAACATGGAACATGGTAACTGAGAGGTGAGTGAACCTGTCTCCCTGGAAGGAAAAGCCAAAGCAGAAATGGAAGCAGTTGTCCTTCAACTCCTGCAGTGGGAGGGGGGAGAAAGAGAGGGAGAGGGAGAGATATGCAGACATGATAACTTTTCTTCTAAATTTAGATCCTTCCCCCAAAACTCACTTACCCACTACTCCTTCACTCTTAGACACTTAATACCTCCTATGTGCTGATCCTGAACCTGGATAGGCAGCTCAAGTCAATGCCAAATTTTCCCCTAGAGTTTACTTTTAAACATGTGCAGCAGAAACCATGCCCTCTGCACAACTAGGAATGTTTGAAGGACTTTGGTTGGTAAACAAACAAGAGCTGATTTATAAAAGAAAGAACCATCGGTCTGAATGAGAGAAAACCCAGAGAAAAGACAATTCCTTTAACTCCGTAGCTACGGCACAATATAAAATGCTCCAATATGAAGATATAAACGTTAAGAAATAATTCCTAGTCTGATTTCTGCGGTGATTATGATCATAAATGCCAGGAGATTAGAACATCCTTTGACACAGCAATCCTGTTTGCTTGGAACCAACTCCAAGGGAACAATCCACATATTTAAAATCTCTATGCAAGACTGACAGTGTGGTTCAGTGGTGTGGCATGCTTAGCATATGTGAGACTATGGGTTTGATGCCCAGTCTTAAAAAAAGAAACTAAATAAAAATGGGCCAGGGAGATGGCTCCGTGGGTGAGCGCATGTGCCCTTTAAGCATGAGGACTTGAGTTCTAATTGCTAGCACCCACTGAAAAAAAAAAAATCCAGGCATGGGGATGATGAAATGCTCAACGGTGCAGAGCACTGGCTGTTCTTCCAGAGGATCTGAGTTCAATTCTCAGCACCCACATAGCAGCACAAGAAATTATAACTCTAGTTCCAGGGTATCTGACACCGTCTTCTGGTTTCTGTGGATACTAGGCATACATGTGGTACACAAACATGCATTCAGGAAAAACATTCGTTTAAGATAAATAAAATAAAATATCCAGGTGTGGCTGTGAGTGCTTGTGACATCAGCACTGGGTAGAGCAGAGATAGTTATATCCTGAGAACTCAGTGCCAGCTAGCCTGGCTGAAACAGCAAGCTTCTAGTTTAGAGAAACCCTGTCTCAGTGCAGTAGGTGGAGAATCTGCATGCCCCTGTTCATGGTATACACACACACACACACACACACACACACACACACACACACACACAAAGCTGTGTGCATGAACATGCTCATTACTGCGTGTTCTGACACATGTGACAACTGAAACACATGAATGTGGACATCCCACCACACAGCACTCAGGGAGCTGACAAGACAGTCATTTCTCAAGGTGGTCATTCTTATGTGAATGAATCTCAGACCCCGCTAATTCACTGCTGCAGATGTATAGCAAGTTGTCCTCCACAGGACAGGCACCCCACCAAAAGCTTCCTCAGTACTCTCTGCATGCCAAAATCAGCTGGCTGTAGCAGTGGTTCTCAACCTGTGGGTCATGACCCCTTTGCGGGGTCAAATAACCCTTTCACATAGGTCACCTAAAAGACCATCAGAAAACACAGATACTTACATTACAATTCATAACAGTTACAGTTATAAAGTAGCGACAAAATAATTTTATGGTTGAGAGTCACCACATGGACTGTATTAAAGGGTCACAGAATTAAGAGGATTGAGATCCCTGAACTATATAGTCTTACCCACCTACATTTGATGTAACGTGGCCCAGGGACACAGGATTCTCCCAGTGAAGGGCAAGAATGACCTACTCAGGGTCTTTCTGGAATTTTCCTTCCAAGAATAGCATCACTGCCTCCTGCGCCCCCATTTCCTCTCTGTTCTCCAAATCAGGCTGTTTCAAAATAACGCTTACAGGACTCACGTCAGACCAAAAATTTACACAATTTCAAGGTAATATTCTGGGGCTTTCCAGTTCACACAAGGATCTGAAACTTAATCATATACTTAGGAATACACAGCTGTAGACAGATAAAGCGTTCCAGGGAAGGAGACCGCGAGAGAGCTCCAGAGAGGGACAGAAGAGTGGGGTCACCAAACCTCACACACCTATCGCTGCCTCCCCCCAACTTCCCACTGTCATGAGCACCCTTCCTGGGGTCCCTGGCAGGCTTCCATTACCTCTTCTCTTCAGCAACCAAACTAGAGGGACTGGTGGAGCCTGACTAGCTCACAGGCTCTGTGGTCAGGGTCAAGAGAATGAAGGTGTGGGCAGTTTTTAGCACACTGCCTGACCCTTGCTCTGGAGCTATGCAATGCCATTGTCATTACTTAAAATTAAGTTAGAAATTTAAAGTTAGAAAATCTCTAAAGAAACTATGAAGTGTGAGGTTCTTATCATATTTCCCAGTCACCTGGGACCAGGCAATGTCAATTCAATGGATAAATTGGTGGCTTTTGGTGTTTAGCTTGGAGTCAGATGTGAGTCAGGCTAAAAGGTCAACAAACAGATCCCACCTAGCACAAGACAGTGCAGAGGAGCAGAGGTAAAGGTGGATTAAGCTCCCTGAGTGTTCACTCCAGACAGGTTGGCTGGAGCCACAGCAAAGAACTGCCTGGCGCGTTGTTGAAGCTCAATAAACATTCAAAGTAGCTGGGTGTGGCGGCACGTGCCTGTGATCCCAGCACCCAGGAGGCTGAGCTAGGAAGACTTCAAGTCTGCTTTGGGAGGCAGCATAAGATGTAGTCCTGCCCCCACCCATGGGAAAAAAGTCCCCACCAAGGGAAAACAACAACCACTTCCCCAAACATGCTAAATGTAGAAATAAAACACCCCAATTGCCTACATTGTCAGCGTCTTTCTCTTAAAACGCTGCTTAAGATTACCACCGAAAATCAGCACCGGGAAGAAAGAGAAAGGAACTACAGAACAGTGAAAAAAAATAAATGTAACAAAATGGCACGAGTAAACCTTTTTTATAATGTGTTCCATTATTTTTTATTATATATATATATATATATACACACACATATATATATATGTATGTATGTATGTGTGTATATATATGTCTGCACATCTGCATAAGTATAAACATATGTGTATACATATACACATGATCAACACACACACACATATATACACACATGTGTATATGTGTATGTATATGTGTGTGTGTTATGAACGTAAAGTAACTCCTGACTCCTGATTTCCTTTCATGTAAAAATAACAGTGTCCTCTCCACATTGTTTTGCGAGTGTTCTTTCCAGATGAAGAAAGTTAGCTCTCCGCTAATGTATAGAAACCAGTTTGTTCTGACAGGTTTCACACAGAAAGGTGCTCTGAACCAATCATTTCTAACTGTAGTCTTTAGTTTTCTCTCCCATGATACCCAGCTTTTGTGTTATGCTTTGAGAAAAGGACAGCACTTCAAAACCATTTCAATTTAGTAACTTCCCTAGACTTTGGAAATTTCCTAGACTTAGCTTAATTTTACACCTGCTTTTTTGATTTCTCTGAGACTGACTTTTGTGCAGAATTGAGGAAACAACGTGGTATCCTATGCCACTACCAAACAAACCCAGCAAAGCAAAAGTAGTGTGCATCCTCACGTACTTCACAGCTGGTCTTTGGTTCCTGTCTTTCTCTGGTCTTTGGTTTCTGTTTTTTTCTGGTCTTTGGTTCTTGTCTTTCTCTGGTCTTTGGTTCCTGTTCTTCTCTGGTCCTTCCTTACTAGATTTCAACCCTGTGGGGTGTAAGACCCACACCAGGAAGTTAGAGCAGGTTGAAACCCGGAGACTTGATGGGGACACACCAGAGGCTTAGGTGACTCCAAGTTCCCTTCCCTGTCAGACCCCTGACTTGGAACACATGTGCCATGCTTCTCACATAAAAGAGACGTGACCATAGGTCATGTAGGCTCAAGACAGAGGTCTTCATACTAATGAGGTACCTAGAGGCCCGAAGGGTGTAGCCAATAAGCTTTCCTTCCCAGACATTCTTCCCTGCAAAAGGTATTTAATCTCAGGCCCACCCTGAGAAGTGGGGTATGGCTTTATACAATTTACTTTCTGCTGTGACAATAAATGCCTTAGAACCATGGACTGTCTCTTTTCATTTGGATCCGCCCTGTGGGGAGCCATGGAGAAGGCCTTGTCTACAGAACCACTGTCTAATCTTCCTTAGAAGTCCTCTCTGCACTCCCAACCACTCCCCGTCCCCAGCCCGGGCTAGATCCAACCCATGCCCCCAACTCCATTCTCAGATCTTCTGGGGCTCCCAGTAGCACCTGGGTGTCCAAGAGCCTGAGAATCAGGCACCCCAGGCTGGCAGCCCCCCTATTAGCTCTGTCTTTCCAAGCCTCTCAGACTTTGATTCCCCACCTCCTGAGCAGTACCTCAGTGCTTCCCTATAGCCCAGCACCCACCCAGGACAGCATGGAACAAGCACAAACTCCCCAAGCCTCCCCAAGCAACTGTGCCCTATGTGGGAGCAGAAGTGGGCCCACAACCCTACAGAACCCTACACAACCCACTTCATTGTGTCATTGTAGCAAATTATACGGGTTCTGTCCTCTTCACCCCAACTCCTTAGCATTTGAAATTTTCTGGCTATTTATTCTCATGGATTTATTTTTCGAGATAAAATTTAGTATATTTTTTCATGTTCCACAAAGAAGGCCTGTTTGAATTATAAGTGCTCTTGCCCTGAATTGCAACACCAATTTATAGGGAACTTGACAATATTAAGAGAATAATGACAACACTTGTGTGTGTTTGCTCAACTGGTGGACAAAGATAAGGTGAGCACAGGTGCGAAGATAAGTCTTCCACAACCCAGAACTCATTACTCAGTAGAAGGTTTGATACATAGAATAAGGAATATCATTTTAAAAGTGAATTAACTGTATCAAGTCAAAGGAATATGATTTGAAGAGGATCGATGGTGTTAAGTCATCCTAAGTATGATGATATTTGATTGATTTAAATATTTTTATGTCCGGAGTTTAAAGCTTCCTTTGGTAGGCCTTTGATTTATTTATTTTAATTTAATATTTGGAAATCCATTTAGTAAGGCAGGTTTTAAAAAATCAGACCTTTTTCTTTCTTTTCTCTTAGCTCTTGAACATTGAGCATTTCCATTTCAGTTTCTGTGCTCTCATAGAGTTGACAGGGCATCCCTATGTGTTAACAAGACACACGGTCTTCAGGAGGGATGCCTCAAAACTCATGAGAAAAGGTCGAAGGGTTCCTTGAATTGATTGACAAGAGGTATGAAGGAAGGACTCCAGCAGGGCAGGGTATATAATCCACTCTTCCACTGCTAAACCATGCCCTGCCTGACTCATCACGAGAGAAGTACATATTGAATAGATGCTGGGTTCTGAGGCACAGTTTAGTGATAGGGCACACACTTGCTATGCTATGCTATGCTATGCTATGCTATGCTATGCTATGCTATGCTATGCTATGCTATGCTATGCTATGCTATGCTATGCTCAAAGTCCTACACTGAGATAATTTTTCACACGGCAAATTGGGGGAAACCCCAAGTTTGGGAACAAACACTGTTGCTGGTCTATGGGAAATGGGCAAAACCAAATACTGTTGAAGTTGGCAGGCAACAGGACACACATTGTTGGGGGTAATTTAGCAACATCTGTCTGATTTTTGAGAAGCAGATGCTCTTTGTCACAACACTTTGGAATTTGCTCTATATAAAGACTCATTAACATGTAATTGTAGAGTTAGAATTATTTCTTGTAGTAAATATTAGAAATAGCCCAATGTCTACTAACAAAAGATTGCCTATATAAAATGTGGTACGCCTTTGTAGAATACTATACAGTTGACAAAATGAATATCAAATATACAAATATATGAAAGAAACAGGTGAAATCCAGACAATCATTTGCAATTAACAATATTCTGTATAAAATAAGAGAGCTAAGAATCTATATTTGTTAATTTAACTGTATTTTTGTTTTATTCACTCATCACAGTGTTCAACATATTAAATAAAAATTTATATGTTTAAAAAAAAGAATCTACATTTGTTTTACCTGTTTGCCAAAAACTAAATTCTGGAAGAAGGAAAACTAAGAATTAAAGACTTATCCTTAAGATATTGGAATCATGTGATCGTATTCCATATTCAAACAAATAGGTTACGAAGTATTGTCAGGTGATGCCTAGTGGTGCTTTGGTCAGTGATGGCCGACATTGACAATGGTGGGCCCTGAGATGATGACGCAGCCGAAGAACCCCTGTGGAGCTGTGTTAACACAGACGGTGACACACTGCTCACGTGTCTGTGGTGATGCAGGTAGGGATGAATCGCCTGCAAAGCACAGCACCGCATCATCCTGGTGACGGGCAAGATGAGCTGCTGCTTCATATACCTACAGCACTGTCTGGCATGTCCTTACAGAACACGCAGAGCTACACAAAACCTATGGAAACAATTTGCTTTATCAGCAGCAGCCCTATAGGTCTCATGTTTATTGTGTCTCTTGGGTACATTGTTTTCTTTCTTCATTAATCTTATGTTATTTAGTGTGGCTCTAGGAGCAAGAAGCTATACCATAAATATGAGTGCACACAAACACACATAATACACACATACACACATATATATGTGTATGTATGTGTGGGATATATATAAGCATACATTTAAATTTATCTAGATAAAATATAACTCCTTATATATCTATCCATTTATCTATCTATCTATATATATGTATGTTCTCTCTCTATATGTATGTTCTCTCTATATATGTATGTTCTCTCTGTATGTATGTATCTTCTATATATGCATGCTCGCTCTAAATATATGTATATATGTATATGTATGTGTGTATGCTTTTTATATATATGCTGTATGTATGTATGTATGTATGTATGTATGTATGTATGTATGTATACATGGAGAGAGATACCATCAATCTATGTGTGCATTCAGCTACAGTATATGTGTATGACTGCATAGTCTATGTTCACACAGGAACAAAATTGCCTAGCAGGCATTTCTCAGATGTGTGGCAGTCCTGAGGAAATTCAGACCATGTTGTCAAGGAAAAACTCGAGGCCATGTGCTCTTTCTTCTCTCCACATCTTCAGAGATCCACACCCTCAAGTTCAAACAACAAAAACTGAGTCCAGCTGACTTTCAGCAACATGAATTTGGTCATCCACCTTCCTAAGCCAAAAGCAAGGATGTATCATGGGCCGAGATCAGGGTTTTTAGGGTGTGGCTGCCTGAGATGGACCAAGCCTGGCCTGTGGTTGTCAGAGCAGTTTTCTGGTACAGACTTACTTCCTTAGAGTAAATGCTGACTGGATGGTAGTAATGTGTATTCTGCCTGCCTGCCCCCCCCCCCTCTCTCTCTCCCTCTCTCTCTGTGTGTATGTGTGTCTCTGTCTTTCTCTGTCTGTCTCTCTATGTATACCTGATTCTGTGTATCTGTCTCTGACTATCTCTCTGTCTCTTTCTGTCTCTTTCTATCTCTTTGTCTTTCTGTCTCTCTATCTTTCTCTGTCTCTGTGTCTCTGTGTCCCTTTGTGTCTCTCTGTTTCTCTCTGTCTCTCTCTCTCTCTCTCTCTCTCTCTCTCTCTCTCTCTCTCTCTCT